AACTCCAGAGCTCTCTGTAACCAAACAATAATTGGGTTTTCTGCCCACAAACAAGTGGCTGATGGCAGTGGCAGCATTCAGGGCTCTGCCACAGCCCCAGCCTGACCCCAGGCTAAGGAGGGACTGTCCAACGTCATCCCCGCGGCCACGGTCCCGCCCCGGGCTCTGAGGCTGACTCAAAAATTTAAAATAAGTGGGCTGCTCACGGCACTTTCAGTATTCCCCAGACGCCTCAGAAAAAGCCTCCTGCTGCACGTTACCTAATTCTGCCACGACAGAAGGAGCAGATTCCTTTTTGCTGGTGCTGTGGTACACATCCCCATGCAATGGCATCTCTGTGTGCGTGCGGAGCGCGGACAGCTACATCTCTATATGCCTCTGTGTCTGGATTTGCCTTCAGCGTCTTCCTCAGCAAAGTGATAAGCAAAGTAGTTCTGTCAGGAAATTGGCTCCTGAGAGGGGAATAGCCGGCGGGTTCACAGCAGGTAACGTTGTAAAACAGGTATGAAAAGTGAACAGAAAACAGACATTTCGGCTGGCGGAGAAAGAACAGCAATAGAAATATTTTCCACGGGTTTGCAAAACAACTTGGGGTTTTGCTCCCACTGAATTGTGAGTGAATACTGTCCCCCATTTTCAGTGGACATTTAGTGGATGTTTTCCTCAGCTGCCTTCTGTATCTTTTGGACGTAAATTTAAGAGGAAAAGGAGATGAAATGCTTCTTTGACTGCTGTTTTCCCTTCAAACTCATTGTGCATTTCAGGCAGTTCCCTCCCGAGCCTACCAAACCAAGTGTATGCAAATGCTGGAGCCAGGGGCGAAGGAGCTGCCCCGCCAGCACAGCTCACAGAGACACAGCTGAGCCACAGCGACGGCTCTCTGCTGCTAACACATTTCCAAGGCTATGAATATAAACATGGCTTTGAACAGCCAACAGCAAAGCCGTGCTCACGCTTTCAGCCTCCCTGGGACCCGCAGGCCGGAGCTGCCCCAGCCTGGGGCTCCCACTCTGCTCCGAGCTGGGGCTGCTCGGGGGCTCTGGAGGAGCAGGAGAGTGGGGGATGCTCAGAGCACCCGGCCCAGGGCTGGCCTTCAGCCTGGACCCCCAAACTGGGACCCACAGCCTGGGACCAGCGTCCTGAGACCCTCAGCCTGGGACCCCCAAACTGGGAACCCCAGCCTGGGACCCCCAGCCCGGGACACCCAAACTGGGAACCTCAGCCTGGGACCAGCGTCCTGAGACCCTCAGCCTGGGACCCCCAGCCCGGGACCCCCAGCCTGGGAACCCCAGCCCGGGTCCCCCAGCCCTGCACCCTCATCCTGCCACACGCTGCATTTCTGTCAATGGCTTTGGCCCCGCTCCCTGTCCCCGCACTCGGGCTCCAGCTGAGGAGGGAAGGAATGGCTCTGGGACAGACAGACAGACACCACAGTGGGAACCCCAGCCCGGGTCCCCCAGCCCTGCACCCTCATCCTGCCACACGCTGCATTTCTGTCAATGGCTTTGGCCCCGCTCCCTGTCCCCGCACTCTGGCTCCAGCTGAGGAGGGAGGGGAGGGCTCTGGGACAGACAGACAGACACCACAGCTGGGCACAGAGCCCTGGGTGGCCCCCGGAGTGGCCCTGTCCCCGTGCTCGGGGCTCCGGAGCAGCCGGCCCTGCGGAAGCCGCGGTCTCCTAACCTACTTCCCGGGAAAAGCAATTGGAAATTCTGCGAAGATAAAAAGATAATGAACAAATAACCTTCACTGCCACAAAGCCCCAGCTCCCCTTTGTGCTGCTGCCTGATATTAATGATCCTGTCAGGGCTCCTAAAGAACTTCGTGCTCCAAGTGGGAAGCAGGGGGTTTGTCCCAGAGTGCAGCCAGGAGCTCGCTTTCATTTCCTCCCAGTCTTAGGCAAGAAAGTTCTTCAATTCTGCGTCTAAGAAACCATATATTTATTTTCTCACATCTCCGCGTTCCTGTCGTTCTGCTGGGGTTTGAAACAAAACACCACTGTCTTTTCAGGAAAAAGCTTGATGCATCGAGCAACGGCAATCATTAATTATTTCGAGCCTTTTATGCCACCACTGACACCACAGTGAAGAATTTAAAACATTTCCTCAGACAAGCAACTCGCAGACAGCAAACCACAGCATTGCTGTGTGTTTCAGAGCTCTTTTCATCCCCGAGGGCGCTGCAAGGAGCCTGGCCAGCGGAGCACGAGGGGTGAAACTCCAATTAAACACCCGGCTGGAGCAGCCCTCACCACGGAGATGAGCCAAACACCTCCAGGGGTGGCTGCCCCTCTCAGTGAGCCCCCTCTCCAGGGGACACGTCTCGGGGCAGTGACACCTGTGAGCCACCCATGCCCACGGGTGGCAGCCAGCACGTGCCAAGGGATGGGGCAGGGATGGCACCGCTGCCTTCCCAACCTGAAGGATCCAGGCACAAACCACCAGCTCTGCTGCCTGAGGAGCTGCCCGTGGCCTGTGGCACTGTCAACAGCAGCTTTTCCCAGCCAGGAGCCCAGCATCCTCCTGTTCAGGCAGCTGCTGTGAGCCCCCGAGCGCTGGCAGGGCTCCGGGCCCAGCCCTGCTCACTGGCAGACAGATGCTGGGACAGCAGCTCCCCCAAACCAGCAAGCACTGGAATTCACAAAAAAACCTCATGACACAAGGCTCATGGAGGTGCCAACCCTGCTGCCCCTGACCACTGCACCCTGCTGTCTGTGCCCATGGCACCTCTGTCCCCCCAGCAGCATCTGGGGGGCCCAGGGATGAGTCCTCCAGGCTCCTCTGCCTGCCTGGATGGGCTGTTCAGGAGTGGAAATTCGGGGGAAAAATAGGAAGGATTCATCCCAGCTCACACAATGAACCGCTCGTTCTACATGGGAATATGAACAAAGCAAACCCTGGAAAATCAAATAAAAAAAGGCTTTATTTAGAAGCAGAATGCTCAGGTATTATCTGGCAGCAGCAAACCCCTACTCACACACCTTCATCAAGCGCAGCCAGAGGTTAATTTCATGACAGATTTCACCGATGCCATTATCTGAAATGTAAATAAACGTGCTCAGAAATCAGCTCTGCCTCCGGCGCTGCTGCCTCCTGCCCAGCAGCGAGGCCAGATGACCCGTCAGACAGGCCACGCTCCAGGGAGGGCACCGAGCCCGTCCTGGTCCCTCTGCCAGGGCGGGCACAGCAGCAGAACCAGGCGCAGGCACGAGCTCCAGCGCTGCGTGTGGGAGCCGGGCTGCTGCTCCGGCCGGGCTCCCCGGATTCCAGCAGAAATAGAACGGCACAAATGACACCCAACAGGCGCAGCACCAGGCGAGGAGACACTGTGGATCTCGGCAGGATGTGAAATCCCTGCGCTCGTGAGGGAATGACCTTCAAAACTCATTCAGCGCTCGCAGCCTGCGCCGTGACGGTTCCTCCTCACTTGCGAGACATTACACATTCCTGCTATGCTCTCCCTAATTTCGCATGGACTATAAATACTTGGCTTATAAGGCAGCATGAAAGCAAGTGAGAGCAAACATTTAAGTGGGGTAACCTTGCTTGTCAGGGTAGCAGGAGCAAATCCTCCATCCCTCGGGTCGCGCATGCTAAATGCCAGGAATCCCTGTTTACTATGCTACACATAAAATATCAACCGGAATATGGGACCGAGTCATATTTTCTCTTAAAAAAAAAATCACATGCAAAATGACGACACCTTGTCAAATTGTCTTAAGGGCAGAAAATCCAGATTTTTCTGAACTGCTCTGCCCACACTTTCTCTCCCCAAGTACAGTTTCCCGTTTAATTAGTATTAAAAACAACCTCTGAGAGACGAATTAGTTTGGCTTATGCAAAATAAACTGGGCTGCTGTTCGAGCCGTTTACTGGGTCACACTTTACAACCCCGGTGGGGGAGGTGAGCGGAGACCGGCAGCACTTACCACCATTCTTCAGTGGCATTTGCACAAATCACCCTATTTATCGATTTTAGGCTGTTTAAGCCAAAATGACGGGGCCTCCCATAGCCTGCAGCACCCTTGGTAACCGTCCTTTGGCATTATCACCAGAAGCAGGTTTGCGCCTGGAAATGGAAGGATGTTCACCCCTCCTCGGCATGACAGGCCAGGCAGAGCTGGGGCCCCCGGGGCTGGGCGGGGGGAGCTGTTGCTATTGACGTGTTGAGTCACCTTTACTCAAAACTCTGCCCCGAATTTTCCATCGCCCACGGGCTGGGCTGGGGCCAGCCGCCTCCAGCAGCAATCCCCGCGCGTGCGGCTCCGCACAGGTTTTCGTGAGCTCCCTTGCAAGGATGATGCTGACGGCAGGAATGAAGCGCAGGAGCAGCCGGAGCCAGGGATGCTGCTCTCAGCCCCCGGTCACACGGTCCCGGCACCGGACTCGCTCCAGCGGAGCCCCGGAGTGCGTTTCCCTAGTTTCCAGCAATACGACACATCCCACGACATCTGCGCGCTGAGCGCTGTCCCTCGCAGCCCTGGCAGCGCAGGGACCCCGGCTGAGGGGCGACGGCCCCTGCCGTGGGTGCCGGTGCGGGTCCCGGTGCCTCCCGGCACGGGGGCGCAGGGGGCGGCGGATGCGCGCCCGTCCCCGCCGCTCCGGACGATTACAAAACCCGAGCGCTCGTCGCGGCCAGCCGGGCGCTAACGGGGGAGGCAGAGCGGGCCCCCGGCCGCGGCGGGGCCGGGAGGGTCTGTCCCTGGCAGCAGCACCCCCGCGCACCCCTGCCCGCAGCATCCCTGCCCGCAGCATCCCTGCCCCGCAGCATCCCCCGTACTCCCCTCGGCGCCCACGTCCTCCCCGCGCTGCGCGCAGCCCCCGCGCCCTGCAGCGGGGGGCTCGCCCCGAGCGGCTCGGCGGGGCCGTGCCGTGCCGTGCCGGGCTGGCAGCAGCGGCCGCCCCCGCCGCTCCGCTCCTTTTGTCTGCGGGGCCGGCGGCAGCGCGGCTCTGCGGGGGCAGCGCGGCCGCGGTGCCGGTGCCGGCGGCGCGGGGGCTGACCTGGATGGTGCAGGTGTACTCGCTGTCGTCCAGCAGCCGCACGGTGCAGTTGTACTCGCGGTCCAGGTTCCTGCTGCTGCCACTCATCCACCTGCTCAGCATCTTCCCGGGGCGCGGGGCGGCGGGCGCTGCCGGAGCCGGGGCTCACATCCCGCTGCGGGGCGGCGCGGGGCGGTGCGGGGCGGGGCTGTGGGCGCCTGCGGGCTGGCCGCAGGTGGCCGCGGCTCCCCCCGCTGCCCGCAGCCCACCCAGGGGCTCCCCCGCACCGGGGACAGCGGCTCGGGACAGAGCTCGGGCACCGCGGGGCGCCGAGCACGGCCGGTGATGTCCAGCGGGGTCGGACATGTGGCAGGGGGTACCCGCGACCCGGAGCCCCGATCAGAGGGGCGGGGGCTGCCCCAAGGACAGACAGCAGGTGAGTGGGTGTGACCCGGCTGACCCACGGTCCCTGCCGAAGGGCCAGCCTGTGGCCAGCTCTCTTGTCAGAGCCCAGTTCCATTGCCAGGCTGGGATCCCCGTGGAGGGTTGGCAGCTGCCGTGGTCCTTCCAGCAGAGCCAGCCAAAGTGCCAACGTGGCCCCCAGGACGTGAGCTTGTCCCCTGGTGTTCATTTGTCACGGAAGGAAACCTTTAAATCTCTGGCTTTTGGACAAAATGGACTCCCAGAGCCAGCAGTGCTGACGGGATGGAGCTGGTGCTGCTCTGGACCAGGCACATACCTGGTGGCAGCAGCAGCATCACGCAGGGAGGATGGGAATCCTGCGGCCCCGGCCATGCCTGGGTGTCACACTCCCCAGAGCCATCCCCCAGAGCCCCACTGAGATCTTCAGCGGGGCTCCCCACACCACCCTGGCTGCACACACACCCACAAACGCCCAGATCAAACAGGACCCCTGTGAAGCTGTCCCCAGTCTGTCTCCCTGCACCACAGGTCCTGCTCCCTCTGCACCTTCCTGGCTCAGCTCCCCTTTGCCCAGAGCCTCTCCTTTGTTCCCCTGCTGCATTCCCAGGCTGCAGTGCAGCTCCCACCCTGTCCCAGGAGCACCAGCCTCCATGGCCCACAGCTTCCAGCCTCTCCCCTCTGCCCTAGGCCCACCCAAACACCAAGGCCCATTCCTGCCTTCCCAGCCAGAGCCAAACTCCTCACCTTCCCCAGCTGTTCCCAGCGGCCCTTCCAGATCTCTGCTGCCTGCAGGGCAGTGTCTCCCTGCACAGGAAGCTGCCCTCAGGCCAGTGGCTCTCCAGGCTCTCCCATCCCTGACCCTGCAGTGTGAGGGGCTGGGATCCTTCAGGACCCTGTGGTGCAAGGGTTACATTTTTATGGGTGGTTAGGGGTGAGTCCCCCCCAGGCTGCGTGTCCAGCTCCCACAGGAAGGAGGCTGCCCTCAGGCCAGTGGCTCTCCAGGCTCTCCCATCCCTGACCCTGCAGTGTGAGGGGCTGGGATCCTTCAGGACCCTGTGGTGCAAGGGTTACATTTTGATGGGTGGTGAGGGGTGAGTCTCCCCCAGGCTGCGGCCCCATCCCCAGCCAGGCTGGCTGTGCCAGGGCTGCCTGTGGCCCTTGTGCCCGCGCAGGGACAGCGAGGCCTAGGCCTGGCTACCTCAGTGTCCAGTGCCCTAAATCCAACGTCCACTTTAGGCAAAGGACACAGCGGGAACACGGCGCTGCAGGCAGCAGTGGGAACACCCTGGGAAGGACATTACCCTGCAGAAAACATGTCAGCAGAGCCAGGCTCTTGGCCTGGCTGGGATCTGCCGGGAGGCTGGACCCTGCAGCTCCCAGGAGCAGGGGCTGTGCCCGGCACGTTGTCAGGGGCGTGCTGCCGAGCTGGAGCAACAACGGCGCTTTTCACAGCTCCCGAACCATCTGGGCACTTGTACAAAGATGCTTGTATTCACCAAAGTGGCTGCCACTTTGTCATGGATCCCACTCGGCATGAATGGCTCCTCTGCCTGGAGCTGCCCCTGGCCCAGCTGAGGCTGCTGCAGCGTGGGTCTGGGCGCTGGCAGGTGCTGCTCTCAGCGAGCAGGGCTGGCACAGCTGAGCATTAATGAGCCCGGCTGAGGGCAGCCCGGGGTGCCCAGCCCCTGCCGAGCCGGCCCCGCCGCAGCTCTCATCCTGCACCCGGGGAGCGCTTTTGTTCAGGTTCCCATTCCCTGCTTTTATTTTATTTTTTTTCCTGAGGCAGCACAGGAAGCCCTGGGCTGAGCTCACCCCCCTTGTCCTGGAAACACGGAACAGCACTGGAGCCCGACAGCTCCACGCTCCTCTCGAAATACCTGACAAGGCTTCCACAGAGCGTATCAAAGGCTGGCAGATGCCTTTATGAAAGTACTCTGTGTTTGCAGCTTTGATCGACAAGAATGCACTTTTCATGAGTAACGTCTTTTTCTTCCCCCTTTAATAATTTATACTGTAAATCCTACAAATTCTCACGATTTGGATTCTCTGTTACTTGCAGTATTGAGCTAAAGCATTCAAAATGCAGCTTTCCTAATGTAAAGTGAATTCTTAGCTGTTTGTTTTCCAGCAGTTTTTTAAATGTCACTAAGAGAGTTGCCCAGAGAAGTTGTGGCTGCCAGATCCCTTGAAATGTTCCAGCTCCTGGACAGGGCTTGGAGCAACCCGGGACAGTGGAAGCTGTCCCTGGGTGGGATGAGATGAGATCTAAGGTCCCTTCCAACCCAAACCCTCCCAGGATTCTGTGATTCTGTGCATTCAGTAGAAAATATCACTCATTATCTATTCTGTACATAATCCATGCATCTGTCATCCATTACAGCACGTCACCACAGGTAGCTGGAGCTGGGAGAGCAGAGCAGCTCTAGCTGAGGTGAGGAGAACAGGACGTGGCTGCCCAGGGGTGCCAGGGCTGGGGATGCTGAGTGCTGGCTCAGGGCCTGGCTGGAGACCCCAGGGGTCCAGGGTGGCTGTTCACCTCTAAATGATGCAAATGCTGGCAGGGGTAACTGCTTCCTGTGCTGAAGTGACGACAGCACAGCCCCCTGCCGCCGTGTTTGGGTGCAGCCTGCTCTGCTGGGACACATCCAGCATTCCCTGGGCCTGGAGCGGGATGCTGAGTGCTGGCTCAGGGCCTGGCTGGAGACCCCAGGGGTCCAGGGTGGCTGTTCACCTCTAAATGATGCAAATGCTGTAGGCAATAATGACTTCCTGTGACCACAGCACAGCCCCCTGCCCCCGTGTTTGGGTGCAGCCTGCTCTGCTGGGACACATCCAGCATTCCCTGGGCCTGGAGCGGGCTGTCAGCTCTGCTCTGCCTTGCACAGCTACCTGCATCTGAAATTGCATAAACCCACTGTTCTCAGCTCTGGGCTGCGACACGGGGCAGCGCTGCCTGCATGAGATGTCACACTGGGGCCCAGCTCTCAGGGCCTGCCCGTAATTCAAGTGGTCAACAGCGCTGTCAGCATTCCCATCAGCCTTCCAGAGCAGCTGGGCTCATCCCTGGGCAGCTCTCCAGGCTGCCTCACCCATCATTCACCACCTCACGTTTGCTCCCAGCTTCCTGTGCAGCGACAGGAACAAAGCCCAGATTCTCTCTTAGTCTTTAATTACTTTTTTTTTTTTATTATTAAAAGGTTTGGAAAAGAAGAGTGAAGCTCTTCTTGAGAGAGGCTCACCTGGCTACTGCAAGCAGCCCCTGACTCCTCCCCTCTACCTGCCCTGGATCTGGAACCAGCGTGTTACCTCTTTGTGCAGTATTTTCCTCCAATAATAACAGTCATAACGCCATGGCAACAGTGGGGGCACTCCCCACGGCCCAGGCCAGGGTTAGCCCTGCAGCCTGTTCCAGACAGGAGGTCTGTCCAGGGGGTGCAGCAGCAGTTCTGCCACCAGTTGGTGTGTGGGGAGTGAGGGAGCCCTTCAGAGAGTGTTTGTGCGTCCTTCACCCTCAGCCGGGCACGGGGAGCACTTGGGCCAGCAGCTGAGTTCTCTCCTGCCAAATGAGCTCCATAAGTTGTGGTTATTTAGGCTCAGATGCTGCCCCTCAGACACAGAGAAGGAGGCAAGGAAAGGAGGAAACAAAGTGAGAAAGGGAAGAGAAGGGGGACGAGAGAAGAGGGTGATGAGCATGGAAGTCAAGTGTAAGAGGGCCAGGAGTGAAAGGAGGGCTGGAACCATCTCAGCAGCATCCCCACGTGTAGCCACAGGGGAATAAGCTGGAGCAGCCAGCTTCTCGACTGCCAGGCATGTAAAATTTTAACCATAATTTGCAATTATAACCAGAGGATAAAATTTCAGCCTATTAAGAGGAGGTGGGAACCTGCAGGGCGATGCACATTAATTACTGCTGACATCCAGGGACAGGCTCATTAGGCAGAGGCTCCTTCAGTTCCAGCACACAACTTCTGGCTTGAGGCAGCTATTCCAGGGAGTAATTATAGAGCCTGTGCTGCTGGGCAGGTCAGAGGAGCTGACCACAGCCAGCTCTGCACTGCCCTGCAGCTGCAGGGATCAGAGAGGCTCTCGGGGTGAGGAGGGCTCAGGGCCTGGAGGGACAGGACGCAGGGAATGGCTGCCACTGCCAGGGGGCAGGGATGGAGGGGATTTTGGGAATGAGGAATTGTTCCTGGCAGGGTGGGCAGGCCCTGGCACAGGTGCCCAGAGCAGCTGTGGCTGCCCCTGGATACCTGGCAGTGCCCAAGGCCAGGTTGTATGGGGATTGGAGCACCCTGGGACAGGGAAAGGTGTCCCTGCCATGGCAGGGGTGGCACTGGATGAGCCTTAAGGTCCCTTCCAACCCAAACCATTCCAGGATTCTTTGATTCCATTATTGCCCCAAGTAACTCCCTACTAAGACTCGTAATTGTCTGGTTTTACTCTGAAATACAGCAGAGACACTTAGACACAGGACACTGGCTGTGGTACTGCTCAGGTCAGGAATTCTTCACTCCAGCCCCTTTCTCTGAGCTGATCAGGGGTGCAGGACAGGCTTTGCCCTGTGCTGATCAGGGGTGCAGGGCCAGCTTTGCTCCCTGTGCCCACAGCAGTCTCCCCTCTGCAGGCTCCCTGCCTGTGCCTGCCTGGGTGGGGCACAGGGTCTCCTCCTCTCCCTGAGTCCCTCCCTGCGTTGCAGTTGCACCTCATGAGTCCCTAAAAAGTGCAAACCCAACTTCCATCCTCCTCGGGTGCCCACAGAGGCACCTCTGAAAGAGGCTCTCGGCAGTTT